ATTCGTATATAATTAATAACAAAGTAAAAGAAAATTTCAATTGTTATCAAAGGTTTAAATACTATAATGGTTCAATCATTGATAAATATTAAAAGAAAAAAACCTATTGATTAACTTTTTAGAAATTATTCATAAAAATGGATCAATTATTTTTCAAATATATAAAAGTATGTTATCTTCTAATTATATTATTAATCAATTTGATAGAATGTTTTTTAATATTATAAAATGTTTCGTAATATTTGATGTTTAATTTAATTATATTCTTTCAAAAAAAAAATGATTTTACAATTTGAACTTATACAATAATAATGATATATATCTCTAATGAGATAATTCATTATGAAGTTAGAAAGAGAATTTTATCCACGGAATTGATAACATTTTATTATTAACAAGTTATTGCTTAAATTTTAAACAACAATATTTAATTTTAAAAGTTTTTAGTGTTAATAAAAGATAATATTGAAGTTAAATGGAAAATAAAAAAATTAAATTCATAAATATCTATAAAATGAAAAGGTTGTAATTTTTCATGACTTTATTCTATCATTTTAATTTTCAATATATTTTTTTCTTTTTATGAAAAATCTAAGATTATTTGCATCCCTTAATTACAAATCTTTAATCTATGAATTTTAGTAAAATAAATCTATTGGCAATTACTTTTAAAAAAAATAATCAAAAAATAAGTAAGTATTTTAAGTATATATTTAATACTTATTTTCAAATAATAAAAATATGTTAAATGAATCTAAAAAAGGATGGAGAAAATTTAAAATCCCTTTTATTTATGGAAAAAAAAGAATATTATAATAAAAAATTAAAAAAATACTCCGAAATACAAAGATAACCATCATAAGTGTAATACCCTCTTAAGTGATTCATAAAACTATTCCAAAAATAAAATTTATTTAATATTTTTTTGCAAATATTAACTACAAGTATTAAGTATTATTAAAAGAAAAAATTAAATCAACATACGCCTTGTTGCAGATCTAAGTCGGTTCACAAGCAGAGTTTAAGAAGTACCTTAACAGGAAGTAATGGAGGGAAACTCTAGTGATTGTCACACCAAAAGGATTCTGAACATATTTCAAGGAGGTTTGGGGAGTTATATTTTTTTTAAATTAATACCCATCTAATTGGGCTTACTTTTAAAGGTATAGATTTGCTTGAAAAAAATGCTAAAGAATAATAAAATTTACTTTTTATTTTTCCCTAGGGTCGGAAATCTAAGATTTTTTAAGGAGCTGCACTTGGTCTTCCTCTAAGAAACACTTTCTTTACTGAGTCTATGTTGAGTACACTTATTTGATTCTTAGGAGCTGGAAACGTCCTTCTGTACTTCAGTAGCTATAATTTACAGTATAATACTTAAATATTCCTTGAACATACATTAAGACTTCTACCTGCCAACTTGGATTTAAGTACATAATATCAGGGTGTAGGTTCCAACTGGCTTAATGTTGGCATCATACAGATCTGTTAAATCTAGGTAATGATGTTAAGTATAGTTAACTACTTAAATTCCTAACTTATGTTCTTCCATGTTCAGAGATATTCAGAAATGTTTTCTTAATCGAAAATGTGAAGAACTATAGAAGCTCAATTATACTTGCTTGCTCACTGAATGAACGCAATGAATCATATTAGAGGAGTCAACCATATTGAGTGATCTTTATTATTTGGATGATGAAATTTTAGTATTATGAAATAGGATAACTAGAAGGAGAGATCAACTAGCTCATCCTGAGATGGTTCTTGATAATATTCAACCATTTCCTGAATAAGTTTTGCCTGAACCTGAGGAGTACTGTTGTAATCTGGAAAATTACTCATATAAAAATAAAAAATTTTTTTTTAATTTTCTTACATCATCTTAATATAATATGATACTATAATTATACTAGAAGAAATCATAGCACTTAATCTTAATAATTTTGACTAGAAATTAAGAAGAATTTTTATTTTAGTTCGAAACCCCAGAAGGTAAAGTTATTTCAATATTTTATTTCATAAATTCATAGTAGAAAATAGTGCAAATTTGGCATATAATTTCAGTCTAGATTGTTCTTGGATTTAATTGCAAGATTTTATGAATAGATAAGGGAGTTTGAGTAAGATATTTTAAACAAAACTATTTTCGTAAGAATGTTCATAGAATGTTAGAATTTTTAAAGGAAAATTAGAGTTATTTTTTTGAATACCCTATAAGTTTTAGGTTCAAAATGAAGGAAATGTTTTTGATTATACTAAAATAAATAAATAAATGCTAAAGGTAAGGAGAGTAATGAACTTTTTGATATGTTATAAAACATGATTAAGTATATGTTATAAAACATGATTAGGTACAGTATTTGAACTTTATTGCCTTTGAAAATAAAATCAATAATTAAGTTGTTTTTGAGTCTAAACTTGATCTGCTTAGGTAATATCACCAAGAGGAAATTAGTGCTACTAATTTTAGACTAAAGCTCTTAATTGCACGAGATAATGTCTAATAACTTGAGTTTATTATTATGTTAATTAAATTTGATATATAGACAATTGTTGATCTGTTTAGAACTTATTTAAAGTTAACCTAGAATAAAGGTAACTATTTGAAAATTATCAATATTATTGTTTGAATAAAACCCCTATACCAAACATTTAGCAATTTGAAGATTTTCAAATTAAATTACACATATTATGTTCACATCTAATTAGAAATAATAATTTTTACTAAAAATTATTTAAAATAGTTTGGTCATCTTCAAAACTCTACGTTGGTGACAATTAGAATAAAATCAATATTTGAATTTTTGTTAATTAAATTTTAATACTAAACGATAGATCTATTTATAATGATAAAAATATTAAATTTTTAGATCTAAAATATTACTATGTTATATAGTTCCTCTTAATTTCAAATTTCTTCCCTTAAATATCTTTCTTTTTTATATTATTTGAATCCTAATTATTAATCATAATTAAAAAAATATACTTTTAAATTATGATTAGAGTTCTAATCTAGAGACATCTTAAAAATCAGAAATTTAAGGATTCTATATTTTACGCTTTATATTAAATTATTTAGAATATTTTAGATTACATAATTTAGTTAATTAAATTATATCATATAGTATTCTAAAGGTACATTAATTAATTAACCAAAGTTTAATATGAAGCTTAGCACTAAAAGTAGATTAATTTTCATCCTTAGCTACTTTTATTGCCTTTATGGGTAAGTCAAGAGTTTAATCTTATAATATTTATTATTAGGTATTTAAAATCAATATAGAATTTACAAAGGATCTTACTTAAAGATTAATTGGGAGTTATCTTGCAATTAGATTAAGTATTAATTTTACTTCTTAATATACTGCCTTTATATATTTCCTAACTCCACATTTAGTTCTTTGTTAAACTTAGATTCTTAAGAGAACATTTCCAAGATACCAAATTTAATAATATCTAGGAACCTTACCCATACATTTTAAGTGTTATTCTTCAATATACCTAAGTAAGGAAAAGAGATTCTAATCCAGTTTCATAAACTTTATAATGAGAACTTCATAAACTCCTCTTTTATAAACTAGTAAAAGATTACTATTACATCTCATTAGATGGAATGAGATTTTAATCTTAATAACTTCAGGAAGAGTTGCTAAAGTCGGTTCTCTATAAGGGAATATTCATTATCATGCAAATAATAACTTCTTCATATACCTGAAATTTATCGAATATAAGTGTCATAAAGTTTCATTTCAACGTCTAAAGCAGCAAGTATTGATACTAAATTATAATATAGGGCCGTATTGCTTATACAAGAAAGTTATCAAAATACTATTTCTAATCAAGAATCATGATTAGATTCTAACAGACCATAAATTTTCTGCAGAGTATAATCTTCATCATATTTATCCTTACTCATTAGACAAGAGAAGAAAAATCACTTTTGAAATCTTCATATTAATCTTTTTCATCAAAAAAAGTAGTTGCATAAGATTAATTCTATTATAAGATATTGATTTATAAATCAAAAAAACTAATTATCAATCAAAAATCGTTGATTAGTTAAATACATCATTAAAATAAGTTTAATAATTGATATTTTATTTCTTTGTTTTAATCATCTCTTCCTTCTTTTATTGATCATGCATATAATTTAAATTTCTATTTAATTTTGTAGCCATAATATTTCCAATAAATTTATAAGATATTCTTCATTTAACAATAGATTGATTAATTGTCAAATATCTCCAGATTGTTTTAAAACTTCTTCTTTCCGAAATTCATCCATTTTTTAACTTTTTTTTATAATAATCTTTGTTATTTTTATTAACCTTGGTCCTTATCTTTTCTTTTTTGTATTTTTATTAATAAGAAATTACTTAAGTAACTATTACTAAATCAATTTATTACAACTAAAATTTGTAACTTTTATTACTTATTGCTTCAAAATATTTTTTTATCAACGAATGGGTTCTAATGGTGGAGTTATCAAATGCTTAATGCATAAACCCATATTTTAGTGGTTCTGTTTTTATTTTATGTTTTGTCTAACTTCAAGCTTAAAACTCTTTCAAAATTATTAATTTTAATAGTTCATTCTTATTTTAATTTATTGCTGAATTGATGCATGAATTAAATAATCATGCATTAATCATGATAAAGATAAAAAATGATTCAATTCGAAAAATTATGTTTGAATTATGATTGGAATTGTGGATCAAAATTATTAAAATATACAAAATTAGATTACCTATATTAATGGGTTTTTTCGTATAAAAATCATTATCTTAATTAAGTAAATTTTTGAATTTAAAACTATAGTTATCTATAATTTGTTTACTAAATAATATTTAAGAAAAAAATGGCTGCAGTCAACATATAATGAGAAATGAAAAAATAAATATTAATGTATTCATTGATTTTCTATACTGTATTTATATAAACTGAAGGTAATATAAATCTAAATTAAAAAGATTTGATGAATATTTATATTTTAATAATTGTCATTCTTCGGTGTATTTTCTAATTTATATTTCTTTAGATGAATGATCCCAAGTAATCAAATACTCTCCATCATCACTTATTTATCCAAATAAACAATTACTACCAAATTAAATAGATTATTCAACTTTAAATTCATCATTTTCTAGCTTTCTTATTAAATTGATATTCTAATTATGCTTACTAACAAGTAAATATTTTGATTTTATATATTATTATGGGAAAAATGCACAACCATCATCACCTTGATTTACAGTAATATTTTTAGTTTTAATGAATTATTTACTTACACTATTCATCTCATAGAAATGTATTAAATTGCCTTTCTTTGGTTGAAATGTGAAAAGATTATCATTGATAAAACATAATCGATATCCTTAACAATCAACTTTAATATTTTATATTACCATCCACTTTTTATTATATTCTGAATATTCTATTATTAATATTAATTGATCCCGTCCACATGAAATAACTTTATTTTATTATTCATTTATATTTAATTAATAAACCTAATGCTTATGATCTGTAATAGTTTATTAACAGATCCATTCATTTTGTTTAATCCAAAACTTAATAGTAAAATCATTACTACTAGATATTATAATATCTTCATTATTATTCATAATTAAACAATTTATACGATCGTTATGTGCTTTAAGTGTTTATGAACAAATCCATTAATTAGTATTATTATTATTCTACCATATCATAATAAATCCATTATTATCTCCAGATATAAACTAATTGGATTTTTTCATGAAATTTAAAGTGCTAACCAAATTGTTATGATCATTTAAGATTTGATTTTATTTCAACATTCCTTGTTTGAATTCATATATTTTTATTAAATTGTTACATCCAGCTGCTACAATTGAGCAAACTTTATTAAAAGCAACTGCACAACAATATTCTTGTTTTTATTTAATAGAATTATGATTAATTATCTAATAATTAAATGATTTAATATTAAATTAAGATTGAATTAATTATTATTATTATTATTATTATTATTATTATTATTATTATTATTATTATTATTATTATTATTATTATTATTATTATTATTATTATTATTATTAATATTAATGATCTTAATTTTATTATAATTGAATTTAAAGTTAATGTTTAATTTAATTATTTATTAATGGTTGCAATTCTTAAATAATCTATGATTAAAATTAAGATTAATCAATTAATTTGAATTCATTAACTTTTGGTAATTATGATTCTTATTGTTGATTATTAAACTTATAAATTGGAAAGTCTAGAATGAATATTTAATCTATAAAATTGTTAATTTTATCAAAAGAACACTAAAAGTATCAAATTAATAAATATATACATCTAAATGTTTCTCTATTTCTTTTAAATTAATTTCTAATATACTATTTAATTCTTATTTGATTGACATTTTTCTACTTCTATTAAATTTTATTATATTTATATTTTTATTAATTAATAACAAAATGAATTAAATACCTCAAAATAATAAAAAACTTGACATTAATATTATTATGTCTATTTCAAGAATATTCAAATTGTTAAAGACTAAGAAGAAATCATTAGAATAAGTTTTATATGAAAACTATATTTAAGTTTTACAAAATATTTTAAAATGTTAGTGAAACAATATATGTTTTATTAATATTCTGAGTTTATGTATTGACTATTTCTGAAAAATCTTATTTTTCAATGTATTAAACTATTTGGTAAAAATTAGAATTTGAGGATAGAGTATTTTTCCTTATGTCAAATTAAATGAGTTCATTTTCAAGCATAGTGAAATTATTATAATTTTATGTACTAATTATTATTTGGTGTTCCTGGCATGAATGTCTCAATTCAATCATAAAACTAGAGGAAAATGCTTATATTCAAGTCCTATTGTAAAAGAAAACCTCTAATCCCAATCTAATTATTTCTCTCCATACTATATATATAGTGTTATTCTACACAATTGGGAATTCAATGTTCCATTTAATTATCATCAGGCTTTTCAGATTACCACAGAAATCACTGATAAATTATTATTTTTTATCTACTATTTAATTATTTCTACAATATTTCAATTTAGATTCACTATATTAAGCATTCTTTTATTTTGATAAATATTTTCACTTTGGGTTTTTTCTTAGATGCCAAATATATTCAGATCCATAGTCCTTTGCAAATATAATAAATACCTTCTGATAAATTGCCTGTTTTGAATTGTCTTGATTTTCTACTTAGCTAATGTCTCTCATTAGCCAGAGTTAATTTGAATTACCTATCATAAATTATTCTTTTGAGTTATATTCAAGAGAAGAAGACTGTAGAAGTGGTTTTGTTCATTGCACAAAATTTTCTTTTTATCAAAAAACTAATCTTTTCCTTTAAATATATACTTACAAGATTTCTGTAATTAAAAAACTTTTAATTAGATGCCTGCAACATAAAATTTATATTTCCAATTAAAATAGAATCGTCAAATATATAATATCTATTAATCCGTATTATACATGCTAGCTTGAATCCCTATAAGTATAAACCTCTTTGTTAATTCTTTTCTTCTTCCTTTTACTTTGTAAACTAGATGTTAATGTAATTTTTCTTATTTTTCAATCAAATACCTCAACTGTTCTCAAAGTATTATAAGTACTAGCCAAATTATATGCTAAGAACATCAAAAAGATAACAAAACTCCAATTTTGAAAGTATCAACCCTTTCAGTGAAAATTTGTTTAAATCTAGTTACTTAATTAGTCTCAACCAACTTTATAAAATGGCTTTTAATAATTTTTGGGGGTATAATCGGGAGCATTTTAGTAAGCAGTACTAATCTCATTGAGAAAAGAAAGCCTCATGTAGCATCATTTATTTATTTTATAATGTTCAATTCTTATTGACTGCCTACTGTCCAAAAAGGCTAATAAAGTCGGTACTTGCTTAGTCTTTACAATAATGGCGGACTGGATTTTCCCAACCAAGAACATCGTGACAGAATGGGCAGATTCACATCCTTTTACTCCGGTTCTGGTTATATTCTCTTGATTGATTATTTAAAGAGAACATGTATTAGCGGATTTGTATGCTAAATAAATCTACCTCATAATATTGTTCTATTGGGTATATCCATGTTTTGCATTTGGTAGAGAGCAGATGAACATGATTATCCTCCAAGAGTTATCTTTGAATTTCCATATTTATGCCACTGTCTGCTAGGAAAGTGTTTTCAATTTTGTCAATGCTAGAGTCTTAGGTGTATGTTTCATAAGACTTCATGATCTTTTCATCCGTTGAGATATCATTAAGCGCCCATAAGTTTTTTTTCATTGTGAATCACCCATCTTATTTTAACCATCTGATGAAATTCTTTTGCATGTACTTCTTACTTATTTTTCAAAACTATTGGATGCATTGTTCCTTGAAATTGTTCTTTTTATTTAGTTTAATTAAATATTTTCGTTAATAGTTTAGATAAATTGTTAGTCTCTAAAATTAAGTAGGTGTTTAGTGGTATTTCTAATAGATTGATTGGGGAAATTTCTTCCTTTGTCTAAGACTTATAAAAGAGCTATTTGTGAAGATTCAAAGATGCTAATAAATATATTTATTTATTATATTCAGGGTTTATTACAATTTATTTTACGACATTAAGATTAATTAAAATAATTTATAACTATTCCCTTTAAGTATATAAAAGACATTCTCATTTATGAAGGCTATTCTAGAAATATCATTTGATATACTAAGTTACATTGGTATAATTATGATATAAAATCTAAATTTACATGTTTATAATTATATTCATTATATTGCTCAGAATTTGATATTAAAAAGACTATTAATTTTAGATTTATTTGAATAAATATTTTGGTTAGCTTATTTTGGAGTTACAAATTTGAATAAGATATAAAAGGATATTTGTAAAATTATTTTCTCAGAAATTAGCCAATTATACCATTAATCCAAAAATGTTATGAAAATAATTTTTAGAAATATTTTAAACAACAGCTTTATCAATAGATTATTGATAGATTAATAGTAATAATGATTATAATAGCATAGATAGAGAATAGGTAAATTCAAAATTTAATAAAAAAGTATTATTTAAGTTCAAATAATTCAAAATTTAAACATTTAGTAGATCAAATTGTGCTCTTTTAAATCAATTTTTATGATATATATTTTAATTGAGGCTATTTAAACTATTTAATTTTTTTATGTTTTACTTAATAAGTCTTGCTTATTCAAAAGGGCTTATATTATAACTAAATGGTGGATTTTTAAGTACGGGTATTTTATACTATGAAATTAATCATAGCTTCCCTGCTTAATCAATTTAAATTAATAAATTATTTAAACAAAAATTCTTATAAATCAATCGTCTCTTATAAACATTCCCCAATAATAAAGTCAAAGAAACATAATAATCTACTATTTATTAAATTCGACCAAACTTAAATATTAATAATATTAAAAGTTATTTATCTTCAATTTTAACTATTTTATATAAATGTTTAATAATTTTGTTATAGCTATTTATGATTTCTGCGTATCTGACTATCTATTGCGCCTAAATAATCATATATTTATTTTGGTGATCTATGTTTAATTTTCTCCTATCTATTTTTTAAGTTTTACATCTTTTGATTATTAAATTATTGTTGTTGTCTATGAAAATAGATGAAGGAACATCCCTTGGAATGACATCTCCTTTAGATAATATTAAACAAACCATTAATCTTCCTTAGGAAGCATTACATCTAACCATCATATTTTATGGTTCAAATGCTTAAATTGAAATATCAGAAAATTTTTGCTTATTCAAAACAAGTTTTCTAATTTGATAAAATAGGAGAGTAAGAACATAACGAATAATAAAGACGAGGATATAGAACTAGATTAGTTTAAAATTCAGTAATATCTGAAAATAGAGAAGTATACATTTAAATTGGTACAACAAGAACATTCAATATCAAGAATCTTATTACAAATTTCATAAATGGCTTGATTTTCTAAAAGAATGAAAAAATCTGCAAACTCTTATAAATATTAAGTTGTCAAAATTACATTATAAGGCTCAACAAAAGCAGTCCCATATTTAGGAAATTGATAATATTTCCCAATTTGAAAAAGTAATTATGACTAGATTAACTTTTTTGTCTCATAATTTTGATGTCAATAAATGTATTTATTCACTGTAAATTAATTATTTATAGATTAGAATATTTCTTCCTAAATCCTATATTGAAAATTTCGGACAATCCTATTGATGATTTGAAAGACTAATCTAATAATATTGTTTTAGGTGTTAATTCAAATGCATCTATGATTCCTAAAACATTTAGCTCTTTCTTGGTATGAACCCTTGAAGCAACATCTCCAGAAATTACCTATTCATTCACTACTATCAAATTGAAACCACCTAAAGTACTTTTCAATAATATCAAAAATCAATATGATTTCAAATATTTAAAGCTATTCTTTGGATATTACGTGTCTTTTGAATTTATGAAAGCTTCTAATTGTTTATTTGCAAAGTGATTAAAATTAATCACTATTTGAATTGAAAATATTATTCCTAAACAATTATATATTAATAATGTATATCAATTGCTAATTTTTGTGGTGTCACCATGATAATTTTGAAAAAACTTGTTTTTGATTCCAAAACAATTATCATTAATTTATAAATTTTTGACCATTTAATTTTATTTACAGAAATTAAATATTTTAATGCATAAATTTTTTTCTTAACTTCTCCTTTTCTCTCTTTAAATTTAAAAATATTGAAATTATATATGAATATCATTGTAATTGTATTAAAAATTTTTTAGGAATTAAATATTAAATAATGGAACCAAAAACTAATCTAAATAAATAGAATACAACAAATACTATTAAAGATTACTTAGAAGTTCTGAAATATTAGTATGATCTATAATATATGCTTTTAATAGTTTCTTGAATTGACTTTCGATATTATCTGTATGTGATGAATTGAATTAACGCCACTAATTCCTTTATATAATTTTAAAATTTAACTATTAAAGCAAATACTAATGGGAGTCAATAATTGATAAATATGTATTTGGAAAAAGGAGATAAAAATCTACAGAATTGTGGAATATCAGATGACTTCTGAAATTGATTATCAATTGCTTTCTTAAGACTTTATTAGGGAATCAAATCATTTTCAGAGCTACTTTATAATAGGTATAATTAACAAACTTTAAATCATTAATATTTACAGAATTTTTTATAATGAGTTGATCTTATTTTTTTTAATTTATTTTCAAGGAGGACATTATGGAAAAGTATTAGTGAGAAGAATAATTATATTTTGAATTAATGATTATGTGTAAAAACTAGATATTAGGAGCTCCTTAATTCAATCAAGGAGATGGAATTTTGTTTAATATTCAAAGCCTAGTCAAAATTTATTCTGAAACTCAGCACATCGATATGAAGAATTCCTAACAAGGGTTTTAATAGTGGTATATAAAAACAAAGGACCTAATGATTTATGATATAGAAATGATTTATATGAAAAAGCTGTAGCATTTCATATTTTTAATAAAGTGATTGTTAAAGCTATATAAATTCAATAGCAATTATTAATAATTCAATAGGTTAATATTTTTATTGGAATGTAACTTGAGCAAAATGCAAAGATGCTGATGAATGTTAAAAGTTGCCTTAAATATTAGACTCTTATTCTTAATGTAGAGCTCGAATTAAAAAATTTACAGCTTAGATTGAAGGAGGATCTGTTAAGAGAAAGAAATAATTGTTAGGATTAAGATGATAAAATACATTATGTCTCTAATAAAAAAATAACCAATAACCAAATTTGTTTTTATTTAGAGGGAAAATATTTAGAAAAAATATTCGAAAATGCTCCAAAGGCCTTAATAATATGTAAAGAATTTCGAGATTTCCTTTCACCTTCTAAAACAAAATATAATTTTGAAAGTTTTCAAAGATTATTATGTTAAACTTATAAATACAGGCAGATTGTTAGAGAGATGCTATTGGAAATGATTGATTTTGAACAAGAAAATAATGGATTGAAATGTAAGCTAGAATTCCTTGAATAGATATAAAACAAATCAACATTATTTAGAATGCTTCGATACTTGTATAAAAAATGAAAAAGGTTATTTAGAAAATAAAAATTGTGGAGCAAGCCATAATATAAGATATGTATTCCATCATATATTGGATATGATTAATTACAAAGTAAATGGATAAATGTACTGGATCTACAGATGAAATATAGGTGCAAATATTGAATTTTAGATAATGCTCAAATCATGTACTGAATGTTTGAATTCTGTAAAAGAAAGTCTCTTAATAATTAAGAATATTTTTTCGGTGGAATAGCTAATGTTAATTAAAAGTTCCATAATTTTTCAGCCTGACATTTGATTATCGACAGTCATGATATGGTTGGATAATTAGTTAATTTTCATCTTTCAGAATCTATGAAACAATAAAGTTCATTTCAATAACGAAAGCTTAGACCTCATATTTTTATGGGCTTTATTCTGATATAACAACTAATCTTAAATTCTAATTACTAGTTTACTTAATGTGATTGTTGAAATTTTTTGGACTAGAATGTGTTTTAGATTTTACAATAAAGGTAAAAAGTACTTTCTAAGGTTGGAGTTGTGAAAGATAATTTAACTTATGAAATATTGAATTTTTATGATTATTAAATTAACATTTACGAATTAACTTATGTGCATTGCTAAACCATAAATTCTAACTTTTCTGTAAATTGACTAGGTAATTCATGCATTTATACTGATGATTGTTTTAATGATATAGAAGAATAAGGTAAATACTGAGAATAAATTTGGAATGAGTTGATAATTGTTAAAGCACATTTCTTGAAAATTGTATTATGTCATAAAGTTCTAATTTTTAACTTATGATTATAGTTATTCGATAAGTTATGGCTAATTTTCAGGTAATATTTCTGGAACGTGTTGTGGAACAATTATAAATTAATGTTAGATTTTGATGAAATTTACTCTTGTGAATGTTAGCTTTTTAAAGAATGAGAACATAGACTAATTAATCCATATAAGTTAAACTTTTTTTATCTAATAATATATAAAAATTATTATGCTTAAATATATTTTTCATTTCAGAAGCTTATTATAATTCTTTTAATTTTATAATTATATATAATTCACTTCTCAATTAGTTCAAAATTAAAAGAAGGTGCCTTATATGCCTTTTTTAGTTTGTAACAACATTTAGGTGCTAACAAAACAATAAATAACAAAATAATCATGCAACAATAGAGTATAATTAATGTTATATGATGTGAATTATCTTAAACATCTGAGTCTGTTGAATTTGGATTATCAGGAATAATTGGATTATCAGGAATATTAGGATTATCAGGAATATTTGTATTATTATTTATAGGTGTTTCATTATTATTACTATTGTTTCGATAATATAGATTCTAAATAAATAATGATTAATTTATTTAATTTTATGGATTATAGCTTGTAATTTCAATAGATGTATTTTCAATACCAGTTAAATCAACAGAAAGAGTAAGATAATTCTAAACATAATATAATAATGAATTGGTTTTATTTCTAATAGCATAATAATTACCAGATAATACACTATATACTTCGGAAGACTGAGCTTATATTATTTCGAATCCTATCATTCTATTTAATTTTTTTGTTTCGTATTGTATTTCAAATTTATGTGCTTCATATGTATAGATTTGAGGATTGAATGTGTTCTTTTTTGAAAAACTTTCTATCATTAACAAACCATTTGATCCTTAACTTACTTGAAAAGATGCTACAGTTTCGTTAAAGTCTATATCAAAACCCTAATCCAAAACAAAACTAATGAGATTACCTGTCGTTTAATTAAATAAAACCATATACAACTCAACAACATTAAAATATGTAACTATTAATCTGACTTAAATAACATTATCAGAAATTTATTCTGGGGATCCAAATTATCTAGTAATTTAACTAAACGAAAAATAAATAAGTTCTGTTTAAATTAAATACCAAGTAGAACTTTAAAAATAAATATTCCCAGATGTAATAGTTTAATTAGGTTCAAAACCAAAAATTTAACTCATTGTTGAAGAGATGCAATGTTTTAAAAGAAAAATTTCATTATTACCTGAACCATCGATTGAAGTTGATATAAGTCCAAATATTTAACAAGGTTAATTAGTAAAATTTTATGACATACTTAAATAAAGAGGACTTATCAAACAATAATGACATACTCCATTAGAATTGAAAATTTACTTGAGATTAATTTCATTATTGGAAATCCAAAAATAAAAAACAAAATAATCTAAGCCTTAAAATTTACCATTAGAAAATACTGTTAACATACCATTTTGATAACTTGAGTAATAAAAACAGCATACTTCAATCAAATTATGTTTGATTATTTAATTTGAAGATATGTTATAAGCGTATATTATAGTTGATTTTCCAGTACAAATTTGTACAGGAAAAGAATTTTGCATCTCGATAAAAAGAAAATTGCATTTTTAATGGCCTTAATCTGATAAATTATATAGCATTGATAACTGATTAGTTTCAGGATAAAATTAATATAAGTTATTTTNGAACATCTGAGTCTGTTGAATTTGGATTATCAGGAATAATAGGATTATCAGGAATATTTGTATTATTATTTATAGGTGTTTCATTATTATTACTATTGTTTCGATAATATAGATTCTAAATAAATAATGATTAATTTATTTAATTTTATGGATTATAGCTTGTAATTTCAATAGATGTATTTTCAATACCAGTTAAATCAACAGAAAGAGTAAGATAATTCTAAACATAATATAATAATGAATTGGTTTTATTTCTAATAGCATAATAATTACCAGATAATACACTATATACTTCGGAAGACTGAGCTTATATTATTTCGAATCCTATCATTCTATTTAATTTTTTTGTTTCGTATTGTATTTCAAATTTATGTGCTTCATATGTATAGATTTGAGGAGGGAATGTGTTCTTTTTTGAAAAACTTTCTATCATTAACAAGCCATTTGATCCTTAACTTACTTAAAAAGATGCTACAGTTTCGTTAAAGTCTATATCAAAACCCTAATCCAAAACAAAACTAATGAGATTACCTGTTGTTTAATTAAATAAAACCATATACAACTCAACAACATTAAAATATGAAACTATTAATTTGACTTAAATAACATTATCAGAAATTTATTCTGAGGATCCAAATTATTTAGTAATTTAACTAAACGAAAAACTAATAAATTTTGTTTAAATTAAATACCAAGTAGAACTTTAAAAATAAATATTCCCAGATGTAATAGTTTAATTAGGTTCAAAACCAAAAATTTAACTCATTGTTGAAGAGATGCAATGTTTTAAAAGAAAAATTTCATTATTACCTGAACCATCGATTGAAGTTGATATAAGTCCAAATATTTAACAAGGTTAATTAGTAAAATTTTATGACATACTTAAATAAAGAGGACTTATCAAACAATAATGACATACTCCATTAGAATTGAAAATTTACTTGAGATTAATTTCATTATTGGAAATCCAAAAATAAAAAACAAAATAATCTAAGCCTTAAAATTTACCATTAGAAAATACTGTTAACATACCATTTTGATAACTTGAGTAATAAAAACAGCATACTTCAATCAAATTATGTTTGATTATTTAATTTGAAGATATGTTATAAGCGTATATTATAGTTGATTTTCCAGTACAAATTTGTACAGGAAAAGAATTTTGCATCTCGATAAAAAGAAAATTGCATTATTAATGGCCTTAATCTGATAAATTATATAGCATTGATAACTGATTAGTTTCAGGATAAAATTAATATAAGTTATTTTATTAATCTGTTAAATAGACTAAATCATTAGAATTCAAGATATTTTCAACAGAAATATTTATAGATTATGAATTGCTAAAAGCAATAGGTTATGTAATATTAAAGGATTTGCATTCATCGCAATTTGCTGTATAATTTTAAATGTTTCCATAAAAAAGAGTTCTAGGATTAATTTTAATTTCCCCTTTATTCTATATGTAATAAGTCTATTTATGATGCAAATTTCGAGGAAGTAATAAATAGTTTTCATAAATTATTGAAAAATATTGTTTATAATATGAAGTAAAATTTTAATTATGTGCCCTGAACATTAAATAATGTTGTTTTCCAATATAGTCATTTTCCTAAAAACGTGGGGCTAACATATAATCGTATGATAAATATGGATGATTTATGGAGTATTCAGTATTTGTGAATAAATAAACTATTTATACTTAATAGCCTGGTTATTATTTTAGAATAGAACTCAATTAATTGATCTTTAATCCTTATAAAATAGAAAATTTAGAACTCCTTAAGGCTGTATAAGATGTTCCAGTTCCAGAAAATTGGATTAATTAAAAATATCGTTGCTGATCAAAGATTAAGTAGAAATTAGTAGATGTATAAGTACTTATTATTTTAGGATTTTAATAAATTTTATATCCCTCTATATATACATCAAAATAATTTTATTGACTATTTTAAAGGTAAATATTGATTTTTTGATAGAAATAGATAAAATTGTTATTGTCTTTACAAAAAGCAAGATATATTCCATTACTTAATATACCAATAGCATTACTTTAGTAGTTTTGAATAGGATATTGAATAGAATTAATAAATTCATATGATTATTTTCCATTATATGCCAAAATAATTAATTCATCTAGATTATCTATAAATAAATAATGTGGGAAATCATATGGATTTATGTAAATTTCTTTGAAATTATAATTTGAAATTGTAAATAATTACTATTTTTCGAATATATCTGTGGCAATCAATTTGCCATCTATAGTAATAGCAAATAAGACATCTTTTAAAATTTCAGCACCTAGGATCTCCATTTAAAATGGTAATGTAATTTGTTAAGTTGCTTGTAAAGAATGATCAAATTATTGTACTAATACACTATTTTTAAACTACATAAGAACATTGATATATTATGCAGTTTTGATGCATGAGCACTTCTATAAATGTAAATGAGTCTCAATATTGAATCTTTATTATGAACTTGCTGGATTTTCTATTGTTAGAATAATTGTATCATTAATATATTAAGTACAATATAATTATGATTATCTTGAAAATGAACATGCTATTGAATAAGTTGCATCATATACTTTCCATTCTCCAAACCTAGTTCCTTCAATACCTGCGTAAAGATAATTAGAATTACTAGATGAAATCGATAATGTTAAATTTGGACCTAAAAATGCTTGACTTCTATCTATAACTTTATCTTAAGGAAATATTAAAATTAAATCATCTATATATTAATGAAATTAGATAGGTTACTAATTTTCTGTAACATCTAATTGAACCAATTAGATTTAAAAAGCATATTCCATAAATTTATTATTTAACTAAGACATTACTTATATATCCAGTTTTACAGGTAAAACCATACTTTCTAATTATTCAGCAATATCTTAAGAAATAAATATTGAAGGTTCATTAATTAAGTAAGTAGAAATTATGGTTTAATCATTAAAGAATTCTTAAACAACAACAATATTCCTCAATAAATAAAAAAATGCATATGTTCCAGATTATATTAGTTAATAACCTGTAGCTTTAATGGACTCCTTTAATTCCAAGTCTATAATGAATGTGTCTGTAACAATGAATATATTATCCAAAGTCAATTCTATTTTGTTTATTTTTTAATACTCATTCAAAATATATGAAATTGATTAGACCTATATATTAATATAATTAGTATCTATAAAAAAAGATCTGAGTATTTATTATTATAAAACTATTATGTGAAGCAAGTTATTACTAATTTGAAAAGTTGAAAAATATGATATGGGTTAAGGATCATCTTAAGTTTAAATATTTGCATTAAATATTTCTTGAATACTACTATTTTAAACTAAATCAACTAAATAAACATTTTCAGAATTTATCAAAAAAAGATAATTCTAATAATCAGATAAGAAAGCATTTGAATATGATCCATTAAATATTAATTCAGATGTTTATTCTATATCATCTTAATTATAAGTAAAATAAACAATATGAGCATTTTTTTGTGTTGTGTATATCAAACAAAATGTAAATTATGTATTATTTATAGATAAGATTTAGACAATAGGGTTATAAAATTAGGATTCTATCTAATAATTTATGACAATGTCTGTCAATTCTAAGCTTGTTGAATTTAACAATGTAAATTATAATTCACCATCTTCTAAGCTACTAAGCATTCCAAAATCATTTGTTATTAAGTTTATTTAGAAATAATCTAAAAACAATACAAAAATATATATTACATTTTGAAATTGTAATATCCAAAAAATTCATATATAATTCTCCATTACTTTTTATTAATCCCTTGTAAAGTTTATTATTTTAAGTTAAAACCCAGCAAATGTTAGTGTTAACTCCAGAAAGGGAAACATAATTACTTCCAATTCTTATTGATGAATAATCAATGCTACTTGAATTCATCTAAAAAATTTGAGATATTGCTTAATCAATTTTTAAGTTGAATTCGCTTGAACTTAATAATTTGTAG